ACACACACACACACACACACACACACACACACACAGAGACAAACCCGTGACAGTATGCGTTTTGCACTGCTGTTACACAGCACAAAACGCATAAAAATAAAATTCTCAGGTGACAGTGACAGAAGCAAAGGCCTACTTCAAGCTGCCTTTCGCTGAGCAACGCAGATTCTCATCAACTGATATGATGTCGGTGATATATCGAGCTCGGTAAGGCACCAACCTTTTGTCTTCTTCAAAACTCTAAAAAACAATCGCAGTTATTTCCACATGTTAAAATAAACAACTGGAAAATAATTCGCATCTCTGTTCTACTGATAAAAGTTTATCAGGCAACGAAATTACGCACACAAAAATACAAATGCATCCATATTTCTTTGTCTGGGACACGCTGACATTAGCCATTCTAATGAAACCGGTAAAAATGCAGAGATGGAGAGTTTGGAATGAAAATTTCGAAGTAGAATGCAAAACTTGACTGGAACCCCTCCCCAGCTAAAACTAACAATTTACTGAGAAGTGTTAAAACTGCTGGCGCCTAATACGGTGATGCCATTCTTGAGCGCTTACACAACAACTCAATGATAGCTTGACCAGCAGCTGTTTCACTGCTGCACACTAACGCATTACCGACACATCTTGTCACCGAAGAAGTATCACCTGGCGGGTCAACTTAATAATCCTGGAACTCGTTCCTCCTTTGCCCTCCCGGTCAAAACTGCGCGATCTTCCGGCTCCTGCAATAATATAATCTACTCTGACGGCCATCATATGTGAGCTTGATAAGCTTTGTCAAAAAATGATTGTAAAATTAGCAATAGGTAAAAATCCGCGAATGCACTGATAACTGAAGCTACATCTAGGGCGGGAAATCTGTACGCTATACAAGTCAGCAATTTTCAGCGGGATGAACCAAACTGCCCTAATTCTTCGCAACAATGTGGCACTTACCAGCTGATACAACGCAATGCTACCAGAGTTGTACAGCAGAGCAACAGTAATCTGAGTGACCGGACACAAAGCGGCCGCTACAATTCGATGATGTGCTGTTTGCCGTTGCGTTTCAGCGATCAGCAGCGGCTCGTAGTGGAGCGCGGTATTTCCCTTTTCATCCTCCACAGCACTCCAAGCACGCCACGCAATCCCGCCATTCGAGTGCACTGTTATGATAAGATCATGCTCACTGCAACTCATCACCCGGAGCAGCGGTGACTCACACTCGTAATGCCAAATAACACAGCGACATTCCGTTTCGATACATACAATCTGCAAAGGCACTGATTAGTCATCGTACATTTGTGAACCAACTCGTCCTACACGCGCCAAAATTACACTAGGCAGGAGAAGGAACATCGAGAAATTCAGCATCGTAAAGGAGCTGAGTTGACCAAATTGTCCGTAACAAATACCAATAACTGGCCACCACACCGA